AAACACCCATAAAAATCGAGAACCAGACTCGAGAAATATTGAAGGTTCATCTCGGCACATGCCAGGATTTGAACCTGAAACTTTCTAATCAGGAGATCTAAGTCCTACAGTGTTTCATGCAAGACTGTTATGTTTCCATGGCCATGGGTTGTATCTAAATTTAAACCACGAAAAACAGGTGCTTTGTTTTTTGATATTTTATCTTTTCTTATTTTATTTTAAATAAAAACGGAATAGTATCTAGGACTAGGCTTATGTTGATTTCGAAAACCTTATCACATACATTTAAAACCATCACATGCAGAAAGTACTTTCATGTAGCTCATATAAGCTGATTTAAAGATTCAGATGCAAAGCAGTCCCAATATGGAAGGTAAATAAATATGAATATATTATGATGATAAATCATTATAAAAACGAACATATAAGACTTGAAAAAATGATTTTGTTCTCTTTAACTTATTCAATTAAAAATCTGAGTAAAATTAGATCTTTTAATTGATGTTGTTAGAGTCTATGTACGATTGAACTGTTTTTTGTACAGACTGTCTGTTCTCTTTGAAATCATATTTGTACCCTAGTGAAATTTGGCTAAAACCATTATTGCCAAATAAGGGGTGAAACTTCTTAAAGAGGTTGTTAGATATTACTTGAGTGTAAACATAAACCAGCGGCTGCCAGGCAAAATACGCCCACATTTTGCAAGAAATGGATAGAGAAAAAGCTAAAAACAAACACGATTTTTTGCACAATCAGGGGCAATAATCCAGAAATTTATTGTCTGAAATGCGCAAATATCAAAAGGGACTGAGATCTTTGGGATGTAAAGATATGTTTTAAGTTTCATCAAAATCAGATCTTCGAGATGTAAAAATATGTTTTAAGTTTCATCAAAATCAGATAAAAATAGTGACCTCAAGAGGGTCCACAATCTTTGTATTACAATATTTGTGATATATTTAAATGGTTTTTAAAATTGGAAAAAAAATTGTGACCTCTAGAGAATCCGCAAGCTAAACATGCAATTTTTCGAACAATCAGGGGCCATAATCCAGGAAGTTACGTTCGGATATGCACGATTATCAAAAAGAACCAAGATCTTAGTGTGTAACAGTGATTTTATGACCCAATAATACATTCTACAGTAGATATCGCTTGTGTGATATATTTCATAATCTAGATATCGCTTTACATGAATTTGATTGGTCAGTTGAAAGGGAACTACTTTTTTTTATTTTCAAAGAACAGTTCATTTCTTATTAAAAGTAACTTTTTTTTTTATTAAAATAAAAATGAGCTATTGTTATTCAGTTGAAAAGGAACTACTTTTTTTTATTTTCAAAGAACAGTTCATTTCTTATTAAAAGTAACTTTTTTTTTTTATTAAAAATGAACTATTGTTATTCAGTTGACCTGGATGGAAACACTGGGTCAATATAAAGGACTTTGCCTCGTTTTTTTGTTACTTTATCAACTTGTGTTGATATTTTTTGATATCAAAATAGACTGGTAGGAGATTCTCTATATATTCATAGGTTTTTTTTCAAAAATCGGATAAAAATTGTGACCTCTCAAGGGACCACAGACTAAAAACAAATTTTTTTGTACTATCAAGGGCCATAATTAAGGAAGTTACGATCTGATATGCACGAATATCGAAAGGAACCAAAATCTTTGGGATATAAACATGCATTTCAAGTTTCGTCAAAATCAGATGAAAATTGTGACCTCTAGAGGGTCTACTACCTTGTAAACCAGATATTTACACCATATGCGTACGAGGGGCGGCCATTTTGTCCGGCAGTTTTGGTCCGATTTTAACTAAATTCCATCTCAACCAACATTATGGTGTAACGGTGATATATTCAAACGTTTTTTAAAATCGGATAATAATGGTGACCTCTAGAGGAACCACAAGCTAAAAACGTGATTTTTTGTACAATCGGGGCCATAATTCAGGAAGTTAAGATCCGATATGCGTGAATATCGAACAGAACCAAGATCTATGGGCTATAAACATCCATTTCAAGTTTAATCAAAGCGTAATTTTTCGTATAATCAGGGGCCATAATCCATGAAGTTATGGTCCGATACATGCCAATATGGAAAGGAACCGAGATCTTTGGAAGATAGACCTATATTTTAAATTTCATCAAAATTGTGGACGGACAGATGGACAGACAGGGGCGACGGCATAATACATCCACATGAAAATGTGGGTGTATAAAAACAAATGGAAGTATGTTCTAATTTTAGTTTTCTGTTCATTTAATGTTCAATATATATTTCCTAAAAGTCTTTTTAATGTACGGTATAGATCGACTGATAGAATTCTTTTTACAGCATCAACACTTCCAAGTGAATTTAAAAACTGTAAAAACTGAGCTAGAAATAACAAGTACTACATCCTTATGTACATTTTAATAGAAGATGTATAAAGATAACAATACCTTAAGAATTCCTTCCATTTAAGCCGTGAGAAGAATATCAACATACAACAGATTAAAAGAAAGCGAATGGATGTTGCTGTAGTAGTCATAGGTTAGGCAATGTACACATTGAACATCAGCCAAGAGAAAGAGCACTTAAAATTACACATTGACGACAAACTCCGGATTCACATATGAAAATCCAGAAAATTCGGTTTGATCTAGGTTCATGATAAATAATTTATCAGTGGGGGTCATTTTGGGTGCTTCCGATGTGAATTCACGATCAAAGTTACTGACATCCTTACGGCTTTTCTGAAAATAAAGAAATATAAATGTATTAAATATCTATTATGTATAAAATCAAATTTAAGATTAATTTACTAAAGATAATATACTAAACAAAATAATTATTGCTTGATAATGACTGGAGAAGCCTAGCTGAAACGTCGCTCAGTAATAAGCAGTAATTGTATTCCATTGAATTGTGACCTGTATATTTCGGTACAATTACTAAATGCCGTAGAAACAATTTAAACAAGCCAACAATGAGGATGATGTCCCCCACCGCAATCCAAAAATAAATAGATGACACATATTAATTAATTTAAATTTTTGAAAAGTATTTAGCCATCAAACTGATTAAATATACTAAGTCTAAGCAGAAAATGTTCAGGATCGAACTCAGTCAAGGTTTTGAAGTACCTGGTAGTGAAAATCCTCTGAGTTTCATCACTCTCACCCAATTAGAACTATAGTTATCATGTTCCAAAGTCTCAACCCATCAAATCGCTTATCTCTGTTTAGCCTAGGTGGAAAATGTGCATGATTGAACAATGTCAAGGCATTCACCTAATAAACATCTACACCAAGTTTGAGCATTCTACCTCAATTAGAAGGAGAGTTATTGTATTCCAAAGTCTCGAGCAATCAGATTGAAGTCTCTACATCTAGCTCTTGTTCCAAAGTCCCGACCAATCAGATTGAAGTCTCAACTTAGCCTAAGCAAAAAATGCTCATCATCGAACTTAGTCAAGGTACTGATGTAATGAAACAATACACCAAGTTTCATCATTCTTACTCAATTAGAACCAAAGTTATCTGTTCCAATCAAATTTCTTATCTCTGCCTAGCCTAAGCAGAAGATGCGCATCTTCAGCCTCCATCAAGGCATTCACCTAGTAAACACCTACACCAAGTTTGAACATTCTATTTCAATTAGGAGAGTTATTGTGCCCCAAAAAGTGTGATACAGATGGAGGACGGACAGACATATGTTCATAGTCCTCTGCTTTCTTCGAAAGGTGGGAGACAACAATATCAAGTTGGTTGGAGGGTTTTATCGCAGGCAAAAGCACACTGAATAACAAAATTTAATATTTGTCAATTAAATTTAATAAAATCCAGAACTTTTAACTACTTATTTCTGTTTTTGTTAGCCATTGAATAAAATTAAATCAAGTTACAAACATTGGTAATCTGAGCTGCAAAACCAATAAAATATACATGCTCCGAGAGGTTGTAGGAAGCTAAACTTCTAGTTTAATAGTTTACATGTATGTCTATAATTTACGCCCAACCAGAGAATAAACAACTGATATGCACATGTATCAAACTGCAAAGAAACATGAATTCTGTTGATTCATAGATACATCTGACAAACAACATCCCGGCCAGAAATGAGATATATATAATAAGGCAACCATTACCATATATCAAATATTCAACATTTTTATAATCCAGTTTCCACATGATTAACAAGTCCACAACGAGCTTGATGTCCTCAGCATCAACCCAAAAATAAATAGAAGACACTCATCAAGGCATTGGCATGCACATAAAAGAGCCCTTGACAATTGGAAGTCTTAGTGCCGCTGTCCAAGCAAAATTTCTCTTGTAGAACACTGCATGGTGTATGCACATCTTCATTAGCCCAGTTGGTGCAGAATAGTAGGACGTTAAACCCCATTTCATCTAATTTCTAAAGTTTTGGCCAATTAAATTGCTTATCCTTAGCCTAAGAAGTTTATCATCAATCTCAAACATTTATAAAATAAACATCTACACAGGTGGGACGATTTACCCAATACTGCCCAATGGTACACAATACTAACTTAAACTTAATATTACCAAATACTACCACGGTCTACCTCATTATATATATCTTTATATATAAATTGAGATAATTTGCAAAAACTAGCCAAAAAATGCGATGGACTAAGACTAGTAATTATTTCCCCCTATTTCATGATGGGCGAATGTACCGTAGTGCGAGTTATAAATAGACAATTTTTCCCTAATTTTTTTTCTCCCCTTCCTGCATTTTTTGGTTGACTTTTTGGCCTAGAATTGGAGAAGAGGGATCAAATTTGCAATTTCATAGCAGTTTGGGGTAATACTGATGATATTACAACAGAGAGATAGGGAGGTGTAAAGTGTCTTTCTGCAAAGCAATCGTTGTGTCAAAAGTGAGATTTTAAACCCAATCAACATCAAATCCATGTAGCAAGAAATCAAACAGTCAACCCCAGCCATCTTTCTTATATTTTATAGATCAATACAACAACACAGTTTAAATTTAAAGTTTTTTTTATGAACATATATTTTCATATGTACAAAATTTGTAAAAAAAATCATTTTAGGGAATAGAATGATAACAATAAAATGAGGATAAACATCAATAGACGGTATTAAAATTTGAAAAATTATATAAAGAACAGTTAATGAAAAAACAGAAGAAAATAATAAGTACTCAGTTACCAATTGAGATGTTGGTACGGTATATATACCACAGTTACCGTTATCATGCCTACATTCTATCATTTTAACTCAATTTTTTGGCAAAACTCAGAGATCAATAAGTAATTAAGTAAAAATTCTTAAAATATATACAAAAGAAACATCTTTGGAAAGACTGAGAAGGGTGGACTGACATGTTTAAAAAAGATTTCATTCCTAAATTAAAATTTTAACAGTGATTTAATTTAATTAACACAGGTCAAGAATTAAGAGATTAGATTTAGATTATGTGACTATCTGGGGATGGATTATATTAGTATAAAGTGTCTGACTATTTCCCTAGTCTTTTTGATGATCAGAACGATAAGGCCCTGAAATATCTTACATGTTTGAAAGCTGTATCAATGCAAACAACACATCACCAATCTTCTAGCAACCTATTTATTTAAAGTTGTCTATAAAATAATAGATTGAACCGTCATCAATATTTTTTCATCGATAGGTGGCATTGTTTTGTCGTAAAAAAAGATCTTCTGGAATACCTCTTTGAGAACATTAATAATAAAGGTGTTTAGAAGGAAATACTTGTAAAAACAGTCAATAAACTCTGAACCATCGAACATTTGGAAAACTGACAAGGAACAGTGTCTTATCATTCCGACTCTTCCCTAATAGCAAGCTCTCTAATATATTCTCCAAAAAAGGCTATACAAGGAGTCAGACAATTCATACTGCCATTATATAGAAACTAGTCAGTACTGAGACTTATTATAGTGTCAACCCATTACAGAATTACAACAACATTGTTTTACAAGTGTCAAGTCCACCCTAAAGACAAATTCATAAATTCATTTAAAATAGAATAGTAATTGTGGGAAAATATTAACCGGGCAAGTTAAATTTCAAAATGTGTAACAATAGTTTAACACAAAATCCTACACAGCAACAAAAACCACATTCCATCATTCCAAAACACACCATTGGCAAACATTGTATAAAATACATTTATACATGAAATTGAAGACACTACCTCTCACTGATAAAGCAGTTACTATTACTTTGGACATTTGTTTCTGTTTATAATTATCAATTTAGCTGTCAACACAATTCATTTTAGCACTATCTATCAAGGGCGTGGATGTGACTTAACTTTTGGGGGGGACGGAGGAACCCTGGAATCTGGAACATTTCATTACCAAACGAAATAAATAATTACGAACAGGTTACTGTGCCAGTGTTATTTCGATGAAGGCTGTAACTAGGGGTAATATGATGACTATATGGAAAAATATTGACTACCTACATCAAAGCTGCATAAATATTAATTGTTCATGAAGTTGAATGAATCGTCTAAAGACGTTCGTTCTACGATCAGGACTGTTCTCTTTGAATATCTTGCCGACATGAAGGGGGTCATTATGCACTGCACACGAAATCAAGTGGCTCAGTCGGTTTTGCGTCATGGAGTTGAGCAGCCGAGTTTTGATACGGCACAGAGTGCTGAAGGATCGCTCGGCTGAGCAGGAACTAGCAGGGTTCAGCAGTGTGAGATGAGAAGAGCTCCGACAGAAGGGAACATCTGCCTCACTTCAGGTGACATAATGAGGAACGCTTTGTGCACAAGTGAAATAGATTTGGCCAAAAACTGGAGCTTGAAGAATGGCAATTCTTGTTCCAAGTCCCGATTCAGCTCCAGATACGTAGAAACAAGCTCACCGTTGCGTGGATATAAACCTGAAAATCTTTCCTGGCGATCAAAATCAGGGGGGGGGGGACAGAGACCTATTCGTCCCCCTCCTTCCGATTCTAAGGGGGGGGGGGGGAACGCCCCCCCCACACCTAAATCCACGCCCATGCTATCTATGATTAATATTAACTTTATTAAATCTGTTAAAATGTTACAATTTTTCAATCTTATACTGTAGCGAACAACACACATTCCAATTCCAAAATGGTTATCATAATAAATTGAGCAAAAGATGAATCAAAAAATGAAAGACTTAGGTTGATTATTTCTTCATTCAAAATTTTTAAGTAGCAAGCACAAGCATTCATACCACACAAACATAGAAATGTTATCTCTAGAGACACACATCTCATGGTAATTTGGATTAAGGCACTCTTATATCCCAAACAATGATGATAATATAAATATATTTTACTGGAACATACATTTTCTTACGTATTTGTTTAATTTTTATTTCATAATCTTAAGATAGGTTTCCAGGCAACGAAACATACGCCCACAGCAACTAAATTGTCCGGGCAGTCAACAAGGGTTGTCGCATATTTTTACTTTTTTCGTAATGAAACATTTATAATTATATATACACTAAAATCTGATTAAGAGCAACAACTCACGAAGTAATTATCAGAAAACTATTAGAATTTGTTTGGTTTTTATAAAGTTCTGCCCCATGCTAACGTTTTTTATGCGAAGCTTTTAATATCATGGATTTAACTGTTCAAGTCATAAAAATTCATTGAAAATCAATATACTTGTTCGTCTCAAGATCTTAAACTTTGTGTATCAATCTGAAGTCAATCGGATGATAACTTTAGCCTTTAGAGAGTCACAAAATTTTGCAAAGTAATCAAGGGCCATAATTTTGGCAGTAATTATCGGAAATCATTGAAAATCAATAGGAATCTTTGTCTCATGACCTCAAACACTGTGTATAAATTTATACTCAAATCGGATATTAACTTTAGAATCTAGAGCATCCACAAGATTTTTCAAAGTGTTCAAGGGCCATAACTCTGGCAGTAATTATCGGAAATCGCTGAAAATCAATAGGCTTCTTCGTCTCATGACCTTAAACACTGTGTATAAATTGAAAGTCAATCGGATATTAACTTTGGCCTCTAGAGCGTCCACAAGATTTTTCAAAGTGATCAAGGGCCATAACTCTAGCAGCAAATATTGGAAATTGCTGAAAATCAATAGGCTTCTTCGTCTCATGACCTCAAACACTGTGTATAAATTTTAGGTCAATTGGATATTAACTTTTGCCTCTAGATCAAGTGATCAAGGGCCACAACTCTGGCAGTAATTATTGGAAATCGCTGAAAATCAATAGGCTTCTTCGCCTCAAGACCTTAAACACTGTGTATAAATTTTAGGTCAATTGGATATTAACTTTAGCCTCTAGAGCGTCCACAATATTTTTTGAAGTGACCAAGGGCCATAACTCTGGCAGTAATTATCGGAAATCGCTGAAAATCAATAGGCTTCTTCGTCTCATGACCTTAAGCACTGTGTATAAATTTAAAGTCAATTGAATATTAACTTTGGCCTTTAGAGCGTCCACAAGATTTTTTGAAGTGATCAAGGGCCATAACTCTGGCAGTAATTATCGGAAATCGTTGAAAATCAATAGGCTTCTTCGTCTCATGACCTCAAACACTGTGTTTAAATTTAAAGTCAATCGAATATTAACTTTTGTTTCTAGAGCATCCACAAGATTTTTTGAAGTGATCGAGGGCCATAACTCTGGCAGTAATAATCAGAAATCGCTGAAAACCAATAGGCTTCATCATCTTATGACCTTAAACACTGTGTATAAATTTAATGTCAATCGGATGTTAACTTTATCCTCTAGAGCATCCACAAGATTTTTTGAAGTGATCAAGGGCCACAACTCTGGCAGTAATTATCGGAAATCGCTGAAAATCAATGGACTTCTTCGTCTCATGACCTTAAACACTGTGTATAAATCTAAAGTCAATCGGATATTAACTTTGGCCTTTAGAGCGTCCGCAAGATTTTTTGAAGTGATCAAGGGCCATAACTCTGGCAGTAATTATCGGAAATCATTGAAAATCCATAGGCTTCTTCGTCTCATGACCTCAAACAATGTGTATAAATTTTAGGTCAATTGGATATTAACTTTAGCCTCTAGAGCGTCCACAAGATTTTTCAAAGTGATCAAGGGCCATAAATCTGGCAGTAATTATTGGAAATCGCTGAAAATCAATAGGCTTCTTCGCCTCAACCCCTTAAACACTGTGTATAAATTTTAGGTCAATTGGATATTAACTTTAGCCTTTAGAGCGTCCACAAGATTTTTTGAAGTGATCAAGGGCCATAACTCTGGGAGTAATTATCGGAAATCGCTGAAAATCAATAGGCTTCTTCGTCTCATGACCTTAAACACTGTGTATAAATTTAAAGTCAATCGGATATTAACTTTGGCCTGTAGAGCGTCCACAAGATTTTTTGAAGTGATCAAGGGCCATAACTCTGGCAGTAATTATCGGAAATCGTTGAAAATCAATAGGATTCTTCGTCTCATGACTTCAAACACTGTGTATAAATTTTAGGTCAATTGGATATTAACTTTAGCCTCTAGAGCGTCCACAAGATTTTTCAAAGTGATCAAGGGCCATAACTCTGGCAGTAATTATTGGAAATCGCTGAAAATCAATAGGCTTCTTCGCCTCAAGACCTTAAACACTGTGTATATATTTAAAGTCAATCAGATATTAACTTTAGCCTCTAGAGCGTCCACAAGCAATTGTGGACGCCGGACCGCCGGACGGAGGCGACGACAATATACGACCACATTTCAATGTGGGCGGATATAAAAATATATTTAAAAATGCTATTAAATCATAGCCTAGACACATTTGAACAAAACAGATTTCTACCATTAGAGTATAATAATCAAATGAAAGCATGTCTTGAATAATGTCAACAATTGCAATTCTATTTTCTGTCAGATTTAGTCTCAACAATACCAATATATATTTAAGTATTGTTGTTACTTTCAATGTCTAAAACAATCCAAGTATGCCTGAGCCTCCTTTGCAGATAAACTTGAAATGCAAACTTTCATGAAGCCCATTTCAGATGAGATAAATTTCAAATTTTACTTCACACGATGTTATCCATAGAACTGTGTTGGGTTATGGCACTTATATTCAAATATTGGTCGGTTTAAAATTTACAAAAAACATTTTTAAATTAGTAAATTTGTAAAAACACAGATCTTATAATACATGTATTATAAGGTCCATTGTAAAAAGAACGCGAGTCAATAAAATCTAAAACCTTTTATAGAAAGATATATTCTGACAACATTCTCTCATTCTTCAGATAGTAGTATTATGTCCTAATCGTGAACCATGACTAGGATCTGCAATGTACATCTAACTAGGAGTCACGGTAATTAACAGTCCTATACATTTCATTTTCACAAAAAAACTGTGTTGTATACAGACAACCATAGTTTGGAGATACTCCAATATGATGTCATCTATGTGATACTGTCTAGTTAAATTACCCAACATTGTTGGTTTTATTGCACACTATCTTATTTTCAAATTTTAAAATGTAAAATAAACCATTAATGAAAACTAGGCTGTGATTGGTTGAAAATATCAAACTAATCCTAATTTGGCAGAATAGTATTACATGTCCTTAAGTACCCTGACATGGGAGGATACACAATCATTTGTGTGTGAACTAGGTATTTAAATACTCTTCTACTGTCTGCTGAGCCATCTACTTTATAGTTTATAAATCAGAGATTTTGATTTTCTCCAAAACTGAGCAATAAACTATTCTTTTGGGAGTAAATGAAAATCTCTTATTTATAAATTAGATGGCTCAGACCTAGATATCACCACTCACTGACATAGTCAAAACTGTCAACAAAAGTGTCTTGTAAAGGAGTTATTTCTGGGAATCAAATGATGCATTCAATTTGTTCAGAAAACAAAATAATAGGAAAATTAATAAGGCAACAAACAAGAGGAATATCAAAATTAGAATTAAATAAAAACACATAATAGAAAAGAATCCAAGCATTCATATTGAACACAAACAAGCAACAATCACATAATAATCTGGTAGATAACAAACATAAAGAGAAAGATGCCAAATTTTGTTCTCAAAGTAAATATTGTTAATTTCATAATGCAAAGCACATTATTTTTTATTATCACAATTCAATTTAAACTTATTTGGCACTTTTCTATTAAAAACAGAATGATAACATACACATCTTTGGAGTTTTAGTTCAATAATGTTAGAAAATTAGCAATAATAATTGTTAAATTTTTAGCAATTTTGCCCACATGAAAATGAGATTAAAATGTGTGATGAATGAAAAATGATTACCAATACATTCATGTACTGTTAGCAGTAACCTAACATTTAGTCAATGTATCTGAATGTATATATTATCATGTTTTCAGTTAATTTCAATACAATACTTAAAATATCTGCTATAGATAGTATTATGAAACTCTTTTAATTAAAAATAAACCTGATGCATAAAATATCTAAACATTGTTTTTATTTTTACTAATGATTCACATGCTAACTCAAATTTTAAGTTGAAAACATTTTAACAGCCATTAGAAGGAAATATAATACACATATTAGCCTTGCTGGGATAATCAGATTCTATACAATACTCTTTTTATAATTCAGATAATGCATCAAATGGGAAATAAAAAGTTGAAGCCCACTTAGGTCAGTATTTTAATTATGGCAGACTTTTTAGGAAGTTGTTTCTGTTTTAAATTTGTGTTATGTTTTATTATCAGTATTTCAGTTATAAATTTCTACATTGACTATATAATATGTTGAACCGTTATATAAATACTTTGGATAAACATGCATTACGCTAGAGCTAAATCTGTCTATTGCAGGTCTTCCTTTAGGCCTGAAATGTTATCTGAATTATTAATTAGACATTAATTAACTTATCCAAACCACAAATCAACTCTCAATGCCCTCATTAGCCTGTGATATTTAGTGGAAATGAATAATTTTAGTGATGGATAATTAAACGTAAAAATGGATAATCAAGACTTTGTTTATTATTGTACCAACGTTAGTAATGACGATCAATGCTAGCCTAAAATTGAATCGCTCATATCTTGGTTCAGAGTGCAACAATCTGACTGAAATTTTCAGCACATTCTGTTTTCATTACCTATTTTTTAACTATTAGAGCGCGAACTGTCAACTCTTTATCTAATCTTACCTTATGCCCCTTTAATATTAACATATCTTAATTTTTGCCTTTCTTTACAGTTGTAATACCCTTTAGTACTAATCTAAATCTGAAAACTGGACAGAGTGATTCTGTTTTAAATTTTCACTAATAATTTAATAATACTTCAATAAAATAACCATTATAATATTACATTATATTAAAAATAAATTACTGTGTTTTATCATCTACCACGAACAGTATAAGCATTAAATCATTAATTTATAGCTTGTGGAAACAATAATGCTTTTTTTAGCATAATACACTGATTATAAATAATGCTGATAAAATACAGATATATTACGTACTAATATAATTTATATATAAAAATGGTATGTATAGATATATAAGTAAGTATATAGTGAGATATTGTGGTTAAGATGATGATATACAACATTTATGGAAGAATATAAAACAGAACATATTTTTAAAAAAGGAACAAACAACAGAAATGTTAACAGCATAGAGAAAATTAACTCAAGTGATGATCAATAAAATAAGGATTAACATAGGTAAAGTTCCTGAATGCATCATCATCAATATTCATGATGACCAGACTGTCGATAGGCGTCATTTTCAACGGGGCTCGTGTAAAATACTTGTCAAAATTCTCAGCTTTCCGCGAGTCATGCTGGAGAAAGAAAAGACAATAACCATAAAAAATTAAATCTTTAAAAAAATATATATATATGTATATAACAAAAAACTATCCTGACTAAACAATCATGGATTAAATTAACATTTCTCGCACGTTTGCCATAGAGTTAATTTCGAAAATTTTCAGTTGTTTTTTGTTATTTCTTCCAAAATAACAAAAAAACTATAATGATAACATCTGTTTCAAAGTAATTTAAATACATATCAAAATTAAATTGTGGTGGTTATTTACAAATATATTGCAAGACAATTTCGAAAGCGTATAATGTTAAGTATAAAAGCATGATTGCATTTCTTGACAAATAAATTGAAAAAGGTTAGAAATAAAAATTAATTTATGTGTACCAAATAAACCAGTATTGAAATGATAAAAGGAATAAGAAGCAGATATTGTGTGTTCAAGCAAAAGTATACATATATTAAAGCTTATATAAATGACAAATATAAACAGAAATAGAAACTACATAGATATACGTATAAGACAGTACTTTTTATATACAAGAGGGAAGGAACATTAAAAGATCTTCATAGGAAAAACTACCGGTATGTTTAAGTAATTATTCAAATGCATGTAATTCTATTTTTTATTTGCCTTTTATATTAAAGTTTATTAAAAGGATTGTGTACAAGACTACAAGTTTCAACTGTGAGGAATAAAGTAGTTTATAAACCAGGAATGTGTACAAGTTTCGACTGTGAGGAATAGGAGTAGTTTAAACCAGGAATGTGTTCAAGTTTTAACTGTCAGGAATAAAGTAGTTTATAAAACAGTAATGTGTACAAGTTTCAAATATTAGGAATAAAGTAGTTTATGGAACCAAACACATCTCAACTTGATGATCATAATATACCGTATTTTACAGGGTATAAGTCAAATTTTCATATTTAACTGTTTTTCCGACCTCTATCCATAGATAAGCTGAAGCGGGTACAAGACAAATGTTTTTTTAATTCGTTAGTAATCTTTCAGTGAGTTACGCGAGTGTTATATCCTAGTCTAATACTGTGTCGATGTACGTAAAATTGGCCCATAATATTAATTAATGTCAAATAATTAGTTGCTATATGTAGGAATAACTTGAGTATTATTCCAAGTTGTGTTCTTGGTTCATTTAAACCATTTTTTCTTTTATTTCAAGATCTCCAATATATACAAGACAACACACTTTTCCTCTTTGCACGTGACTGACGAAAATATTACAGTTACACAATGTTATAGAAAGTGTCTATTGATTGGACAATAAAGAAATAATTACGGGCTTACAAAGTAGAATTATTATGATTGGTTAATTTAGCTGAAAACCAAAGTAGAATTCTCGCGAGAAAATATGAGAGATAGAAACATGTTTAATTACAGCAGAAAGGTTCTATTTTAATGATATTTTCTAGCCTTTATGATTATTACTTGAATGTCAGGCTGGATAAGCCCACATTTTGCAAGAGATGGATAGAGAACAAGCTTAACAAAAAGCGATTTTTCTTAACAACAAGGGTCATAATCCAGGAAGGTACGATCAGATATGCGCGAATATCGACAGAAACCAAGATCTTTGGGTTATAAACATGCATTTCAAGTTTTATTAAAATCGGATCAAAATTGTAACCTCTAGAGGGTCCCCAACCTTGATATACCATGTTTTTAAACTGTTTGCGAATGAGGGGCGGCCATTTTGTCTGGTAGTTTTGGTCCGATTTTCACGAAATTCAAACCCAAGCATTGAAATTCGAACTCAACCATCATTAAGGTGCAACTGTGATATATTCAAACAGTTTTTTTTAAACTATTTGCGTAGGGGGGGGAGGGGGCATTTTTTCTGGCATTTTTCGTCCGATTTTCACGTAATTTGAACTCAACCTACATTACGGTGTCGTCCGATTTTCAAGAAATTTGAACTCAACCAACATTACTGTGTAACGGTGATATATTCGAATGTTTTTGTAAATCAGATAATAATTGTGACCTCTAGAGGGACCACAAGCTAAAAACAGGATTTTTCGTACAATCAGAGGCCATAATTCAGGAAGTTACAGTCCGATATGCGCGAATATCGAAAGGAACCGAGATCTTTAGGTTATAAAACTACATTTCAAGTTTCAACAAAATTGGATAAAAATTGTGACCTCTATAGGGTCCACAAGCTAAAAACATGATTTTTCGTACAAACAGGGGCCATAATCCATGAAGTTTCGATCCGATACATGCCAATATTGAAGGCAGCCGAGATCTTTTGGAGATAAACCTATATTTCAAGTTTCGTCAAAATCGGATAAGAATTGTGACCTGTAGAGTGTCCACAAACAAATTGTGGACATACGGACAGGGGCGACGGCATAATACGTCCACATGAAAATGTGGGCGTATAATGATAAAACTATACACTAAGTTTCACCGCTATCACTCAATTAGAAGAATCAAAGTTGTCAAGCTCCAAACTCTCGACCATTCAAATTTCTTATCGCTTTGCTTACCCTGAGTTGGAAATGCTCTCATAATTGAACTTAGTCAAGGTATTGATGTGATGAAACTATAGCCCAATTTTCATCACTTAATTCGAACCAAAGTTATCGTGTCCCAAAGCATCAACCAGTCAAATTGCTTATCTCAGCTTACCCTAAGCAGAAAATGCTCATCTTTGAACTCCATCAAGGCATTTACCCAATCAACACCTACGCCAAGTTTGAACATTCTACCTCAATTCGAAGTAGAGTTATTGTGTTCCAAAGTCTCGACCAATCAAATAGCGCAACGCTTTGCTTACCCTGAGCAGAAAATGTTTGAGTTTAGTCAAGGCATTGATGTAATGAAACTATACACCAAATTTCATTACTCTCACTTAATTAGAACTAAAGTTATTGTGTCCCAAAGCATCAACCAATCAAATTGAATATCTCTGCTTACCCTAAGCAGAAAATGCTCATCTTCGAACTCCATCAAGGCATTGACCTAATTAACACCTACACCAAGAAATGTTATTGTGTCCCAAAAAGTGTGACAGACAAGCAGGCGGATGGACAGACGGACAGACTGACAGACCCATTTTAATACACTGAAAAGTAGTAATAGTGTTATGTACGTTTAGGGTATAGATATTGACCGATTTTGGTAAATTTGTATGAATATCAGTAAAATTCTAATTAACACAACAAATCTAATACGAAGAGGCTAAAATCTGTATACAGTGTGTTAATTAACAGGGGTGAGAAATTGACTGAAAGGTGAATTAATTATCGCTAGGGGTGAAAATCTCTGCGACAGTGTGTTTTCTGTACTAGGTGCATTAATTAACGAATAGGTTAAAAACGACTGACACGGTGTGTATTCTTTGTTTGGTGAGTTTTCTCGAAAGCGTGTTATAACTGCAGCAAAGGTATTTTATCAAGGATTAGCAGGCTTAATCTGACGCGTAGGTGTTAAATCCAATTTACCGTATGATTTCTTGTTCGACCGTGTGTTTTATGCAGATCGGTCTTTGTTTAGTGTAGGTCTTTATACATGGATTACGGGGGACAATAATATAATAAGGATGAGACTGAATCCACTGTACCCGTGGTTTATCAGTGCTGTGGAGTATAATAATAAAGCTATATCATGCAATCGTAAAAGATGGGAATATTAAGTTATATGTTTAAATTTAGCTGTTCTTATAAAACCCATATTTTGGTATTGTGCATGCAAAGACAAGCTTGTAACACAAAGTGTGATGGAATCAGAGAATACCAGAAGATGTTTGACGATCAGCTCCACATCTATTGTTATTTAGTGATAGAATTCTGTTTCCTTGGATAGCCCTATTTACGACCCAGGTAAGAAATACATTTATAAAATATAACGGCGACGAAACTTAAAGGTTAGCATTAAATGCGAGATTTTTTTTACATAATTGTGCTTTCAAAACAGATTAGGGCATCTGATATCAATAGAGATTAGAATATATTGGATAATCAAATGGAGGTTTGTTAGGATATTATTGGTACCACAATAATGTTAACAAATGAAACCCACAAAAAGACAAGAAATATAAATAACTGCAGCCAGACAATGGTACGCAGTATTCATCAACAAATGAAATACGCATAGATTAAAGAAGGCACATATGTAACTACAGCACGTATAAATCCATGCATAAAGACCTACCCTTAACAAAGACCAATCTGCGTAAAGCATCGGTCGAATAAGAAATCGCACGGTCAATTTAGATTTGACACCTACGCGTGAGATTAAGCCTGCTAGTACTTGATAAGACACTTCTGGTGCAGTTATAACATGCTATTGAGAAAACTCACCAAACAAAAAATACACACTGTGTCAGTCGTTTTTAACCTGTTCGCTAATTAACGCACCTAGTACAGAAAACACACTGTCGCAGAGATTTTCACCCCTAGCGATAATTAATTCACCTTTCAGTCAATTTCTCACCCTGGTTAATTAACACACCGCATCTACAGATTTTAGCCTATTCGTATTAGATTTGTTGCAATAATTAGAATTTTACCGATATTTATACAAATTTACCAAAATCGGTCGATATCTATACCCTAAAAGTACAAATAACACTATTACTACTTCTCAGTGATAGTACCCTGCTTTCTTCGAAAGGCCGACTTCGTGGAAAAAAGTATTGACTTATACCCCGAAAAATTTTGTAGGTATAAAGAGTTGCAATACCCAGAAACCTGATGATTATATATTCTATAAAACTAGCTTTCATCTAAAATCTTATGTAAGACAACAGACAGCAGAAGATCGATATCTAATCATATAGAAAGAAGTCATAATACTCATAAGATAAATGAGAGGAAGATTATGATTATCAATTCATAACAATAAGACCAAGACCATATTTCTACAATACAGCCTTGAGTTTCACATTGATGACAAACAGGACATTAAAAACAGGACATCTGGTTACAGAATCAAAATTAGTTATCCTAATCAGGTCAAGATTGTAAATTTATGCATAACATTAACATCATGGGAATGACCAAACTTATCTTTATCCTTTATAAACAAATATTTTGACCTGCAATAATTATCACGAAACATTTGTGCCCTCAACACTGGGGATAAGGCCACACCAATCTGTTTGTTGTTTCCATATTATCTTTATATATGTAAATATTTATTAAACATACATTATGCAAGAGCTAAATCTGTCTATTGCAAGTTTTTCTTTAAGCCTGAAATGTTATCTAAATTATTAATTAGACATTAATTAACCTATCCAGATCATAATCAACTCTAGATGGCATCGCTAGCCTGCGATCTTTAGTGGATTGTGAGCTGATTTACTGCATAACTTTCCTTCACGATTTAACGATTAAATGGTTAATCAAGACTATGCTGTTTATCGTACTGACTTTAGTAATGATGATCAAGGCTAGGCGGAAATTCAATCGCTTTGTTCTCGGTTCATAGTGGATCAATTTGAATGAACTTTTCAGCAAATTGCTTTTACATTATCTATTTTTTAACTAATATAGTGAGAATTGCCAACTCGTTATCGAATCTCCCATAATGTATCTTTAAATAAATAGTGATAAGAAAAAAACATAGAGATCAAACAAGGATCAATACCTTAAGAATTGTGATTCACTACAGAAAATCTTATGTTATCCTAATTCTCTTTTGTACTATAACAAATTTCAAGCTCTAGAGAGTGTCAAGTTTGTAAATCAAGAGCAAAGATAAGTACTGATGTTCGATGAATAATTTTCAGTTGATAAAATGAGTAAATAATTGTACTTATCTCCCCTTAAATGAAGAAAATATCTAAATAATAACGAGCATTATTAAGAACAGTCGGGTACTTACAATCTTTGGTTTGTATGGCGGTTGCACATCTCTCGTTTCCATATTCACCCAATGTATTCGTCGAAAAAATGCATGTTCTTTAATATCTCGTTCCCCTTGAGCTCCACACCCTAACCTTTTTGCTGGATTTTTGGTTAACAACTGAAAGGATAAAATAAACAAAACAAATGATGAAAGGCCGACCAAACATCAAATTTATAACATATAATTTGTTGAGATATACTGAGATGTAATGCTGCATTCATTCTAATAGTTATCTACAATCTTACTAATTGATCAGAAACTATCATTACACACAAATGAATATATTTTCTACAGTAACAATTATTAAAATATATTTATTTGGCATCAACTAATAATCATAATTGATTTAGTATGATCTGTTTGTTTTCAAAATATCTAGTCAAATTTTACTTTTATTTTTTATTCAAACTGTTGACAGAAGAACACAAAATTTCAATCTATGGACCTAAAATTATAAATGCAGATAGATACTTCACAAAGCAAATAAACAAATTCAATTTAACTAAATCCTGTTGAGCAAGGCACATTCATTTATTTAAAATGAAAAGACTAAATAAATTCATACCCCTTTACATATTGAGACAGCTTCTCGAGACATAGACTTGGCATAAGACACATTGTGGTCCGTTATTGACGTGAACAATTCTTCTTCATCTTCTCCATCAAAAGGCGGCTGTTAGAAAAATATATCATTAAAATATACTCTTCAAAAAAAGTAGGGGATATTGAAATGCAAATACCTATGCAGGTTGTGATATGATAAATAGTCATGGACACTTGACATGCTTTGAGAGTATGTTCACATGCAATAGCGCCATACACATGGGAGGGGTTCATTGTCAAATTTGACACTTCAAGGAAGGGTTGATGAAAACTGCCGCTTGCTAGTTTATCCTATCCATCCATGTTTGCTTTCCTATCGATTCTTGCATAAGATTTACTGTTCAGCATATCTTTGCTTTAGTGTGTTACATTTAATTTGATCGGGAGATGTGTTCGTCGACGTCAACATCAAGCGGCAACACTGCAAGAATTGACCATGGCACTACAAGAGGAGTGGGTCAAGAGGAGTGGGTCAGATTGCCCCAAATCCTGATTTGACGGTTGATTAGGAGCATGCCACGACGAAATGCTGAATGTCTGAGCATTAGTGGAGCAATTACTCATTAAGACAAAAATCAAAAATGTCCATTTTCATTTTTGACAGTGTATCTCTTTGCGAATGAAATGGGGCCGTCAGATAAGCCGCCCATACGAACTGTTTATGTTCATGTGTAGGCAATTGGCCTGTTATTAACATACACTGGTTACCTCTAATAAAAACAGCAGTGCATTTCCACACTTTTGTATTGTTTCTGAATATCCCCTACTTTTTTTGAAGAGTATATTACTGTGGTCTTATTCACAGAAAGAGGAAAATTTGAGATAAGGAATATTTGAGATAATATGTGAGTGTCTTAAAATAGGTAGCTTTAACTTAACTGAATAAGCATGAAAAAAGTTAAAAGACATTTGCATAAATAATTTTACATTCAATTTCTATTTTTTTCTCTTTTATTTCTTACCTGAATAGTAGAAAAAAAACCCACAAAATCTGGCCTATTTTTCTCCTAGACCCAGACTTCGTGAATTGATGTTTGGATATTCAATGTTATTTGTAAGTTACAAGTAAGGATTCATATATCTAACATGATTAAGAAGAAATTTCAAAATCTGACTAAAGTGAAAATTTCACTTTATTTTCACTTTTCCTCAAATTTTGAACGACATTATAGATAATATCATTTATTAACTCTGTTAATAAGCTCTGTTGCAGAGCAGAGAAAATCTACCTCCATCATAATACAGCTTACCATTTTGCACAAGACATTTATTCCTTCATTATTTTTGTGAAGATAAACATCATGAGTGGAAATGCTCATCAAATATTATTGAAGTACTAATTCGTCTATTTACCAAATGATTGAAATCTGAGATTGTATATAGAATACAATATGTCTTTGGAGGAAATGATCAGTTTGAATTCTATATATTTTTGAAGAAATTGGTTAATACAATCATGATTGACAATATTCACTTTTCAATGTCACATTATGAAACTTTGATTTTTCCTAACTTTAACAACAGTTAAAGATACATACATTAGTTAAGAGTTTAATAAAGAGTTGGCCATTCTTGCTATAATAATTCAAAAATAGATGATGAAAAAAAAAAAATATTGAAAATTTCAGTCAAATTACTTCATTCTGAACTAAGTTGTCACTGTTGGAAGTTTGGGCTAGAAATAGGCATCAACTGTCTCTGCACTGTCTCCGAGAATTGCCGATCGTTTGATTGTCAGACGATAACTCCACCCACATAATCTTGATTATCAAGTAACATTCTTAATGGCTACGGTACCCTCGATTGACAGGCCTTTCATCAGCCGTTTCCTGTAGTGATGTCAGTAATTTACGAGAAACATTAGCTTGGTCAGCCATTTATTGATTTAATTATTAAATGGACGACTGTTTAAATCCAAGCTGTATCCAAGCCATCCTAGGGTCTACAGAGTTGATTTTGAGCTTGTCATGTAAATAAATGTCTAATCAAAACTTATGTAGCTTTAAATCTCCTTTTAAGCTCTATTTCTTAGTCTAATAGCAATACTAATGTAGCTTTAAATCTCCTTTTAAGCTCTATTTCTTAGTCTAATAGCAATACAAATAATTGCCAAGTTATCATATGAAAAAATGATTAAAAGTATCTTACCTGACCCGCTAACATTTCATACAGAAGAACACCATACGCCCACCAATCAACAGATTTACTATATGGTTGATATAAAACTATCTGTAATTATAAAACCAATAAGTTTAAAGGCAAGTTTGAATACACTGAATTACAATCATGATTCTTTATTTACATTCAAGAATATAGTTACAAGGTTAATTTACATGATTGAGCGTTTTTAAAAAGTGGAACCATAGTGGCACAGTGGGTAAGGGGCTGGTCTTGGGTACGTTTTTAGTGTTGGTCGTTTCCCTTTGTCAGTGGTGTACGACGAAGGGCCAGGCAATGAGCAGTGTCTAGTTGCTAGGATGTGACAAAATATCCTACATAGTACACTGCATGGTGTATGACTGTCTTCATTAGCCTGGCTGGTGCAGAAAAGTAGGATGTTAAACCTGATTTCATTTCATTTCTTAAATTAGTATGCCAACTTCGTGCATGTCTCCATAATCTACAAACACCAGTATCACAGTTTAAATCAGTTCACGGTTTGGCTCTGTTCCCAAATTTGTTTACAACAACCCTAACTGTTTATTATTACTATAAACCTTTGATTGGGGGTTGTATTTATTTATATCTTTTTCTTATTTACTTATTATTGTAACACCTATTGAGTACTGCATTATATGTCATATATTCTGTAGACCTTTCATTTTAATTGCAATTATATCATGGTTAAGGTTGCAACTAAAAAGAAGCAGAGTTATAATGATTCGATTTCACCTATATCATACACGATCAGGTATCTTGACTCAATATGCGCTACCGCAATGTTGGGTGGATCAAAAACCAATGATAAATCAGCTGATAATCCATACTTTATTTTGTAAGAGACCCACCTCTGGAGCAATATAATCTGGTGTACCACAAAATGTCCGAGTTAATTTTTCACCAAACATTCCTTCTTTACACATACCAAAATCAGCTATCTTTATGTGGCCTTCACTATCTAACATTACATTATCTAATTTTAAATCTCTGAAGAAAAAAAATAACCAATGTAAAATAAAAAATTTCCTTACCTAAACTGAACAAATAATAAGGGTTAATAAGAGTTCTTTAGACAATTATAGGAAAGATGAGGTTTGATACCATCTTGGCCTCAATGTTCATTGATAGAAATGAGTTATCAGATGCTTACAGTTGATTACAAGAATTAAAGATAGTGGTAAGAAATCAATACAAAGTAGTGTTAACTTTAGAAGGCCCTATCATTTGTTTGAATTGATCGAATTTAATCATATTTGAATCAATATGCTTTTTGAAAGACTACTTTTTACGGTATATGGCCTACATCTGCAATTTATTCTATATATTGGGTATTTGATTTTAATCTGAAAAAAATTTGGACACAGAGGTATGACTGCCTCTGCATACAAAATTTGTACTCTGATAATTCAGTTTCCAAATACACTACTACAAGAGTAGAAATTTGTTTATCTTACCTGTAAACTATACCTTGCAAATGGAGATAAAATAATCCAATTGCTATTTCTGCAGCATAAAACCTATCAAAAAAAAAAAAAAAAAAAAAAAAAAAAAATTATAAGATTCAACAATTGAAAAATAATGGCCTAATACATCTGCTGACAAAATATACTAAACAGCAAAAAAAAACGTCAGTAGAATATACTAAACAGCACAAAAAAAAAGTCAGTAGAATTTCAAAATCGGAGAGGCACTTTAATCAAATCATTCTAGAAAACGACTTACTAAATCGATCAAAGCAATTTTTTGTGAACAGTATGTTGACACATTAGTGATTAATTCATCACAATTCAAAGACATTATGAGAAGGTTTAGAGTCTGACACAGTCTTACATCAGCGGTGCACAATTCCCATCGCCCGAGAAAGGTTAATTTTTTTTGTTGGACAGCTGAAATTTCGCATTCCATCCGCCCGCGGACAGGCCGATTTTCTCTGACAGAAATTCTTTTAAATTGAACAATACTTTGTGATCGAACAATACTTTGTGATCGAACAATACTTTGTGATTAAAGCATTTTAGTTCCAGTCCGCGCAATAATAATAGCCGAATAGACTAACTTCAGTCAGAATAACTTACTAAGCACACGATCTACCGGTACTAAAAATAACTTTTCTAAAATTAACGAGTATTGTCGAATGACAACATTCCTTACCGAAGATACCGCAATTTAATTTGACTTAGTTAATGGGCATTTTTTGAGACACCACTCATATTGTATAGTTTAATTTAGTATTCTTGTATTGTAATATTTGATTTTCAATACGGCATACGCTTGAATGAGAAAAAACGAGTTTGCAAGGGTAAATTGGACCTGTAGCTATAAAAACGACGATTGCACAAAACCAAATTTTTCTGATATTTTTTTCCTTTTTATCCCTCCGTTTATGGTTGTTGCTGTCTATTACAATTATAACATCTAATACATTATTGATGATAATATGGAAAGGGTGAGACAGTATTGGAACATTTGGATGCTTAAATATTTGTTACTTTGTTATTATTTTTATGTTTAGTCATTAAAATAAATTACCAGCGGCTGCCAGGCAGGATACGCCCACATTTTCGAGAGATGGATAGAGAACAAGCTAAAAAGAAAGTGATTTTTCCTACAATCAAGGGCCATAATTCAGGAAATTACAATTCGATATGCGCAAATATCGAAAGGAACCAAGATCTTTGGCTTATAAACTTACATTTCAAGTTTCAACAAAATCAGATAACCAGCGGCTGCCAGGCAGGATACGCCCACATTTTCGAGAGATGGATAGAAAACAAGCTAAAACGAAAATGATTTTTCCTACAATCAAGGGCCATAATTCAGGAAATTACAATTCGATATGCGCAAATATCGAAAGGAACCAAGATCTTTGGCTTATAAACATACGAGGGGCGGCCATTTTTTCTGTCAGTTTTAGGCCGATTTTCACGAAATTCAAACTCAGCCGTCCTTAAGGTGTAACGGTGATATAATAACACGTTTTTTTAAATCGGATAAAAATTATGACCTCTATAGGGTCCACAAGCTAAAAACGCAATTTTTCGAACAATCAGGGGCCATAATTCAGGAAGTTACGGTCCGATATGCGCGAATATCAAAAGGAACTGAGATCTTTGGGTTATAAACTTACATTTCAAGTTTCAACAATATCGGATAGAAATTGTGACCTCTATAGGTCCACAATCTTGATATACCATATTTTTACGCTATTTGAGAACGAAGGGCGGCCATTTTGTCTGTCAGTTTTGGGTCAATTTCCATGAAATTTGAACTCAGTCATCCTTAGGGTGTAACGGGGATATAATAATACGTTTTTTTAAATCAAAAACGCTTTTTTTCGTACAACCAGGGGCCATAATTCAGGAAGTTACGTTCCGATATGCGCGAATATCGAAAGGAACCGAGATCTTTGGATTATAAACTTACATTTCAAGTTTCATCAAAATAGGATTAAAATTGTGACCTCTATAAGGTCCACAACCTTGATATACCATATTTTTACGCTATTTGAGAACGAAGGGCGGCCATTTTATGTCAGTTTTGGGCCGTTTTTCGCGAAATTCGAACTCAGCCATCCTTAGGGTAACGGTGATATAATAATACTATTTTTTAAATCGGATAAAAATTATGACCTCTATAGGGTCCACAAGCTAAAAGGCCATAATCCATGACGTTACATGCCAATATCGAAAGGAACCGAGATATTAGGGTGATAAACCTATATTTTAAGTTTCATTGAAATCGGATAAAAATTGTGACCTGTAGACTGTTCACAAACAATTGTGGACGGACGGACAGGGGCGACGACAATATATGAAAATATGGGCGTATAAAAATTGTGACCTCTATAGAGTCCACAACCTTGATATACCATATTTTTACACTATTTGAGAATGAACGGCGGCCATTTTGTCTGTCAGTTTTGGGCTGATTTTTACGAAATTCGAACTCAGTCATCCTTAGGGTTTAACGGTGATATAATAATATGTTTTTTTTAATCAGATTAAAATTATGACCTCTATAGGGTCCACAAGCTAAAAACAAGATTTTTCAGTGGCCATAATTCAGGAAGTTATGCTCCGATATGCGCGAATATCGAAAGGAACCGAGATCTTTTGGTTATAAGCATATATATCAAGTTTAAACCAAATCGGATAAAAATTGTGACCTCTACAGTGTTCACAAGCTAAAAACGTGATTTTTCATACAATCAGGGGACATAATCCATGAAGTTACAGTCCGATACATGCCAATATCAAAAGGAACCAAGATCTTAGGGTGATAAACCTATTTTTCAAGTTTCATTGAAATAGGATAAAAATTGTGACCTGTAGACTGTTCACAAACAATAGTGGACGGACGGACGGACGGACGGACAGGGGCGACGACAATATACATCCACATGAAAATGTGGGCGTATAAAAAACAAAACAAATGACGGATGGACAGACAGGGGCGACGACATTATACGTCTACATGAAAATGTGGGCGTATAAAAAACAAAACAACCTTATTTTTATATTCAGGGCATGTGTATTCTGTAGGGCTAGCCCATGGGCTAGTGGTTCAAAAGTGAAATTGTGCACCCCTGTATACATCAGTATCTGGTGTGTCCACCGCAAGTGTCAATTGATTGATGAACGCCATTGGCACCTGGAACCACACTCTCACTGGTGCAATCCACCAGCTGTGTTTGGTCTCAGTACGACGTTATTAAGTCCTCTCTGAATTTCATCCCAAATATGTTCAATCAAGTTTAAGTCCGGACTAAGGGCTGGCCAGTGCATAACGTTGACATCATTCTGCTGTAGAAAGTCCCGAGTAACTCTGGCAGTGTGGACACGGGAGTTGTCATGCTTGAAAACGTTGTTTCGATGACGTGTGAAATGTGATATGACGTGAGTTCTGAGAGCTTGATCGATGTAGCGCACCGCTGTGATGCTGCCTTCTCTCCCTGGACCAACATCGATGTGTTATTTATTTGTGTACTCGTTGAGCTTTTTCAAACCACAGGAAGTATGTACAAAGTTGAGTTAAATGCACTAGGCCAAATAAAAAATACCTGTGTTTACAGTGACTTGGCCAAAAAAACATATGGTTGGTTAGTCAATGTTTTTGGAGGTAAAAGGTGAGGAAAAAAAGTTTGCGATTGGGGAAATGAAATGAATGAATGAAATGTGGTTTTATGGCACGTCAGCACCAACCGGGCTATATTGCGCCAAACATATGATGAGTTATACAAGACAAACTAAATAATAATCACAATAGTAATCTATATATATACATAAATAAAAACAAATATCACAGAGATTATCAATTTAAAAACAATTATCACAACACTTTATGTATAAAATACAACAAATGAAAATTACAAATATATAATTAAAATTTTGTGTAAAAATTTGTCTCTTTTAAAAAGTCTAGTAATCTACAATATAGACCTGGTTGGGCAAATAATTGATATAAGGACTGGCAACGGTAATGATTAGATCTAATATCTTAAGATGCTTGCACTCAATCAAAATGAGCTTAACTGTCAAAGGAACATGACAGTGTTCACATTCTGGTTGAGGCTCTCGCTTTAAGATGAATATATGAGTTAAAAAAGTATGACCTATGCGAGAACGACACAAGGCAACTTCATCCCTCCTGTTGGTTCTATAGGAGGTTGGCCAGTCTCCAGAGAGGCTTAATGTGATGAAGTAAAATAGGGTCAGTCAGGTTGGGCCCTTATAACATAATGCATCAAATTTGGAACCATTATTCATATAACCATTCAATTTGCAACAAATTAATAAGAGAGTCAACAATGTATGTATTAATCTTTGACGTTCTCTGAAAGTATATTATAAAAGAAGTCATTATATTTGCTTATAAAAATGATTAAATATGATAGATCCACTTACGCTGCAACAGGTTCTTTAAATTTTCCCTCTTGTTGTATTCTGTACATTAAATCACCACCATTGACATATTCCATCACAAAATAAAGGCGGTCCTATAATATAAATGTAATGATCTATACAAACAACAGCTGGTAATTCAGGGATTCTAATACTAATACGATCAATTAATGCTCAAATTTTATGAGAATAATATTTGTAACCTATTCTTATTACTATTATTAGATCCTATCTTAAATTTGAGTTAAAAAAAGATCTTATAAAATAAAGTACATGTATTTCCATAGTTTTTTGAAGCTACTATTCCACCATGGAAAACAAATCACAATATTGCTTGCTCTTTGCCGACAGAATACTGAATTCATCATCAAATAGTTATATTTTGAAACTCCTTAACATGTTTAAGTATGTTTGAAGTAGATATATAAATACAAAATATGATAAATAAAGAACGTCTGATATGTAGTTTTTATCCTTGAACCCATTTTTATCAGCTGGTATCCGGTGAAATCTGTGAGGGCTACTTTAAGTTTTAACCTAAAACTGCAGACTTCTACTATTTGTAGGTGGAAAAGGTGATTTTGAGATTATGATTATACATTTGATTTTGTTAGATTTTCAAGTAGATCTCATCATTCTTTTCACAAAAACTTTTACAGATTCAAAATCGGATGAAGATTTTTTTCTTTATGGAGGCTCAAAGTTGTGATGTTTGACATTTTGTGCAAGAAATGTTTTTCAACGCTTTGAAAAAGTCATTTTTGGTGTTTTTTGTGATTCCATATTTCATTTCACAGCAAAAATGTAGATGTAAATTCATGAAATACAACTTTAAGGCTAATTAGGTTTAAATTTTCACATTTTTGTAACAATTTCTCCGATTTCCCCAGCAACTCCAAAATACATCTATAGATTTTCTCAAAAATTCCATTTTGTCAAAGTGATTTTGGTCAATTTTTTCATTAATCAGCGACTGCCAGGCAGGATATGCCCACATTTTGCAAAAGATGGATAGAGAACAAGCTAAAAACAAACAGGATTTTTTGTACAGTCAGGGGCAATAATCCAGAAGGTTATGGTCTGAAATGCCCAAATATCAGAAGGGACTGAGATCTTTGGGATATAAAGATATGTTTTAAGTTTCATCAAAATCGGATAAAAATTGTGACCTCTAGAGGGTCCACAACCTTCGTAGCATACTTTTACACAATTTGTGTACAAAGTGCGGCCATTTTGTCCGGCAGTTTCATTTCGATTTTCCCGAAATTCCAATTCAACCTTCATTATGGTGGAATGGTGATATATTTAAACGGTTTTTAAAATCAGAAAAAAAAATTGTGACCTCTAGAGAGAGAGAGAGGTTTAACGTCCACTCGACACAAACTAGGTCATTTCGGGACTAACATATGGTTTAATTTTTTTATTTCAATAATTTGCTTGCGCGTAGGGGTCTTTAGCAGAGGGAGGAAACCGGAGGACCCGGAGAAAACCCACAAGGTTGGACAGGCGACCCTATTCCTTGTCACGTACAACCGGGGAATCGAAACCTTGCCAGTTGACTCAATGACAGACCGTATGATACAGCGCGCGCATGCTAACCATTCAGCCATCCCCCCCGACCTCTAGAGAATCCACATGCTAAAAATGCGATTTTTCGAACAATCAGGAGCCATAATCCAGGAAGTTACGGTGTAAGGGTGATATATTCGAACGTTTTTTTTAAATCGATTAATAATTGTTACCTCTAGAGCAACCACAAGCTAAAAATGCAATTTTTTGTACATTCAAGGGCCATAATTCAGGAAGATACAATCCGATAGCGCGAATATTGAAAGGAACCAAGATCTTTGGGTTATAAACATGTATTTCAACTTACATCAAAATCGGATCAAAATTGTGACCTCTAGAGGGTCCACAACCTTGATTTACCAGATGTTTACACTATTTGCGTACGAGGGGCGGCCATTTTGTCCAGCAGTTTTGGCCCAATTTTCACGAAATTCAACGTCAACAAACATTATGGTGTAACAGTGATATAATAGAACGTTTTTATAAATCAAATAATAATTGTGACCTCTAGAGGGACTACAAGCTAAAAACGCGATTAATTCAGACAGGAACCAAGATCTTTGGGTTATAAACTTGCATTTCAAGTTTCATCAAAATTGGATCAAAATTGTGGCCTCTAGAGGGTCAACAACTTTGATATACAGATGTTTACACTACTTGGGTACGAGGGGCAGCCATTTTGTCTTCCATTTTTGTCTGATTTTCATGAACCTCAACCTCAGACAAAATCACTGTGTAACTGTGATATATTCGAACCTTTTTTTTTTTTTTAAATCGGATAATAATTGTGACCTCTAGAGGGACCACAAACTAAAAACGTGATTTTCCGTACAATCAGGAGCCATAATTCAGGAAGTTACGATTCGATATGCACGAAAATAGAAAGGAACCAAGATATTTGGTAGGGTGACCCACCATAAATAAATATCTCCATATATCTCGACAATTTCGCCACAATATTTATATATATGCCAAGCCTCAAATCAGTTTCACACAATTATAGTCACTAAATAAACGATCATGTTGTACTTAATAAGCTATGACCATTAATCATCTATAAATAATAGACTGAAAACTGGTTCCATGTGTCGTCCATAACATCCAGACACTTTTGAGTAAAAGATAGGTTACGTGCCCTTGTTTTGAAATTAGTCTCGCTTAACCAGTCTATCGACCATTCTAGGGCTGATTGACAGGTCGGGATAATCAAGACTACTTTTTTACGAAACATAACAGAAAGCTAGAACAAGAAATTGAATTTAGAAATGAGCACGTTAGCTAGCTAAACAATTGTTTTAAGAAGCTTGTAAAAGTAAAATGAATCTACTGCTAGTATCATGTTCCTGTCTAACCCGAGTGCTTTAGAGATATTATTTGTACTAAACCAAAAGATGCCGCTCTTAACGGTACAGTTAATGATAAAGCGATTTAAAAAATGAAACGAACGTAATTTCTAAATCTGCTGTAATAACCAAGAAGCTTAATTTTACTGCTATTCAAAACCCTATATTTGGGTTATAAACATGCCTTTCAAATTTCATCAAAATCAAATGAAAATTGTAACTTCCAGAGGATCCACAACCCTGATACTCAATATTTTGACACTATTAGCGAACGAGGGGCGGCCATTTTGTCCGTCAGTGTCGGTCCGATTTTTACGAAATTCAAACTCAACAATCCTTAGGGTGTAACAGTGATATATTCAAACGGTTTTGTAAAACGGATAAAAATTGTGACCTCTATGGGGTCCACAAGCTAAAAACGCGATTTTTCGTACAATCAGGGGCCATAATTCAGGAAGTTATGGTCAGAAATGCGCGAATATCGAAAGGAACTGAGACCTGTGGGTTATAAACATGCATTTCAAGTTTCATCAAAATCTGATCAAAATTGTGAGTGTCCACAAGCCAAAAACGTGATTTTTCGTACATTCAGGAGCCATAATCCATAAGTTATGGTCCGATACATGCCAAAATCGAAGTGAACCGAGATCTTTGGGAGATAGACCTACAGTGGACTCTGTCACATCCGATGTCTGATCACTCCGGATTGCTGTGACATCCGACATGATTTTCAAGTCCCGATTTATTTCCTTATTACTTCAGCCAAAAAATCGCTGGTAAATCCGAATTCTGTATGTTCCGGATTCCGACATCAATCAGCCATCCCGTCACATAATTTCCACTGAATCGACACCGGATAATCCGTACTTCAAACGGTGGGTGTGAAGCATCCAATTATCGGTGAGATTAAAACTCAATGGGTGTGAAGCCAGAAAAGATTAACAAGCAATCACCAATCAATTATCGGTGAGATTAAAACTCGCAATCGCCGGTCGGTGTTGATTACTTTGATAATGTTATAAATTCTTTGTTGATTATTTTACAATTTATAATCTCTTGTAAGAGTGCGCTTGGTATTTGATTTTAGTTATTCATGTCAAATACCGCGACATTATATAAAAATTGCGGCGATTGAAGAATCATTATACATTATTGTATTCAAAATGTCTGAATGTCCTGCAAAGCGTGCCCGAACAGATTTGACATTAGATGTAAAGCGGCAACTTATAGCAGATTTCGAGAAAGTTCCATGACCTGCGCAGAAGGAATTAGCCGTTAAGTATTCAATTGGCCGAGCTACAGTGTCAGACATATTAAAGCGTAAAGATGAATTTAAACAGAAGTTTGCCGATAATTTAAACTGCAGTAATTGTACACATGCATTGTTATTGTTAATTATTTAATGTAATAAAATTTTGAAAGTACAGAAAGGTTTATCATTTTTAAAGGGAATAGCATTCTGGTGATTCGAAGCTACAATATAAAAATACTTCCGTTTTTCGAAGTTACAGTATTTCCGGTTTTGGAGAAAGCTCGGTATTCCGAAACGCTGTGTGATCCGAAATATTGTAACGATCCCGTACGATGTCGGATGTGACTGAGTCCACTGTATATTTCAAGTTTCGTCTATGTCAGATAAAAATTGTGGCCTGTAGACTTGTCCACAAACAAATTGTGGACGGACGGGGGCGACGACAATATGTGTCAACATGAAAATGTGGGCGTATAAAAAATATCTATATGCCTTCTCTCTAAAGCTGGATATATGTTCATTTTTGAACAATTTTCCACGGCACAAAATTGGCTATTTTTTGGGCGTTTTTGGGACATTACGCTCATTTACACGCCTCCAAACGCGAGCACGCCTATCGGTGAAATCCAGAACATTACAATTTCTACGCTGCCTACATCATTGACGCCTGTTTGTCATGAGCTGGCGAGTTAATTGAGGCACAACACGCAGTCGTCGCGCATGCAAATGGGCTGCATGTTGCCGATTTCTAATTGTTTGGGGTGTAACTCGAATTCCTGTAACTTGGTACAAGTTTACAGAAAGCAGATTGGTCATTTGTCCTCGATTTCGCAGGACCTGTGTACGAATGTATCGATCCTGGGCATGTGTAGTGGCTCTAGGACGAGGTCTATCATCAACATTGTGTGTTAGTTGGTACCGGTTCCACAGT